GTATGTATATTAAAATATATATATAAAGTAATAAAAATGTATATTTCTGTTTTGGCAACAGCCTCCCCCTGCACAAGGCTGTAGGCAAAAGGGATGGAAGCCGTGTATGGGATTGCCAGAGCCAGGTAGTGTGTGATCTGGCTTTTCGCCTGCCTCGGCCCACCCTGCAGTGCTGCAGGTCTGTCCCCACCTTGGTCACGTCTGCAGCCCAGCCGTGTCCCTGCAGGGCAGGGCCTTCCTGCTGGCTCGGCTCACTCTGGGAGTGTGTGGGAAATACAGCTCCAGTAACTGCTGGAGAGGGGCGGGAGTACTGCCAAGGGGATGAAGAACTGGAAGAACAGGGGATTGTGAGGAATTCTTTCCAAATATTGGTAACTTCTGCGAAATGCTTGGAAAGGAGAAGTGCCTGTGCGATGGAATGTGGGGATCTGTTGTACCTGAGGCTGAGGGAAGCGGCCTTGCCCTTCTCCCTGGGGGATATTGGGACCTAGGTTAGAGGTTTCCCAGTCTCCAGGCCTGGGGGAGGCATGGCAATTGCCCACGGAGATCTCCAGCCTGTTAAAACCTCAGGTGCAGCTTAGTGATCCAGACATCCCTGGACGCCCTTCCCTTTGCTCCCACGAGGAGAGAAACGCTTGTGTGGATGGAAATGGCCAGGATGTTTTAGGTGCACGTTACAGTTCCTTGTTTTATCCGCCTGCAGCTAACCCTGGCTCTGTCCTGTTCCAGCCCGGTCTCAGTTCAAACAGGCACCTTAACCTGCACTTGTAAGTAAACTCTCCCTTCCGGGGTGCGAGGAGGGATCGCCCCTTCTAACGCAGATCATCGTGTTACTGAGGAGCTCCTTGGGAAAGGCCCGTGCAGGGACACGGTTAGAAGGAGCTGCCCGGCCCTTCACAGAGCCCTCGCTGCCCGAGTCTGCCCAATTTTCAAAGGAACATGAAAGGGTTTTGCTGGAAAGTCTCTGCTCAGCTCTTTCTGGGGTGTAATTGTATCTCTCTGAAAACAGCATGGCTCAATGAATATTCATTAGACCTTAATTTAGGAAACAAATGCATCTTGCTGCTTCTCTCAGAGCTGGGTCTCTTCTCCTAGAAGTGAGTCTGCACAGTCAGCGGGTTCTGAGAGGCTGACGGATTCGCCGTGCCCCTCCGGCTGGGA